CGTATTGGGCTGTGACGTCATATATCACGTAGAGTGTGTATCGTATAACCTGAAAGGCAGGCATCTCAGGAAATGCAATTTCAAGGGAGGGCGTCCTTTGGGAAAATGAGTAAATTCATTCCGAAAATGTTCGACACTGGATCCCCAGGTCATCGTCAGACTTGAGAAAAAAGTGTGCAAAGAACAGTTAGCATTTCAAAGTGCTGATACAGTTATATAGGCATCTGGTGTGGGCGTTAATTGGGAGTTGCAATTTGTGTCACATCGTGGTGGACATGACATACCTTTGCATGGGACAAAACACGCATCGTCGGCGTTTGCCCTTCCAAAAAAGGCTGATAATGTCTTGAGACCATGCACTCCGATGATTCATGCATCAACCGGCGTATCAAGTGAGCTGGAGTATACAAACACCTCAAAGAAAGGTGGAAGAGACTGCAGCCGACAAACATTAACTAACATGAACCGCTATTAGCGTCCACACCGGATGACCTGGATTGACCCCGGACTGACTCAAATTACAGTTGCCAATTAGCCGTTACGCCGTTGCGACTGCTAATCATGTCCACCACGATGTGACACAAATTGCAACTCCCAATTAACGCCCACACCAGATGCCTATATAACTGTATCAGCACTTTGAAATGCTAACTGTTCTTTGCACACTTTTTTCTCAAGTCTGACGATGACCTGGGGATCCAGTGTCGAACATTTACGGAATGAATTTACTCATTTTCCCAAATGACGCCTTTCCTTGAAAAGAGCGTGTGTTTGCGTTGTGCGACCATCGATTTCGATTAGGTTCATCATGTGCTCAAGAGCAGAGACGGTAATGGAATGGACGGTAATGAAATATACGTGCAAGTGTCTGACTCACTCTAACCCTCCACCGCTTAAACTGGCGACAAGACCGAAGTTGGGATGACGGAAGCAGGCTCTGGGCGGAAACCGTTTTCTCCAATGTAGTCTGAAACACCGCCTAACTCAGCCTTTAGGGACGGTAGACTTTGCGCATGTACAAATGCACTGTCTACCCTCACTCACCTATAGTAAGTGTCTAGCCAGGCTCTAGGAAGCCAGGACTGGTACTGCTACTAGCACTACTGTTATTTCTAGTAATACTAACTAGAGTGCAGTTGAGTGATAGTATTTGCTGGTACTATTACTGACTGTATTGTAAGTCGGAAGTGAAGCTGATTTAAGTCAGCACTGGGCTCATATCTTCTCAGTCTCAACAGGAAGGGTAGTAGTAGTGGTGCTAGCACTGGCGCTACCATTTGTCGGAGTTGGCACTGATTCAGCCAAGCTGGGACTGTAAATCTTGGCTTCAACTATTCCGAGTAAGTACATGCTTAGGGTCCTTAGCACAGCAGAGTTTGCCTTGGTTTTTACTCTCTCAACTCTATCCATCAAGCTGCAATTGTTTCTATTCGGTTCGGACTATGATGCTGCTGCTTGAAGTACGTGCCTATGCTAATATTCTAAATCTACTAATCATGTTTACTAAGGCCAGTAAATAGTATATCTTAGTACGGCCTGTGTGTACTTTTTAAAGAAGTCACACCCAGTAGGCACTCCAAATCTGTGTAAGGTAAAGCGATTAGCATTTGGATAGTAATAACGCGTTTGTAAATAATGTACAAGTCATATTATGCTTGCGATAGCCCGTCATGCATCTCAGCTATCAGCCTTTAGCTGCCTCTTGTTAGAACACATGCGGATGCGAAATAAGGATCGTAGTTTGTCGAGATATGACTTGACTATCTACATTATCTAGGTTTGTTCAGAATTTACAGAGCATCATCTGTATATTAGGAAGCCAACTTCTCAACAATAAACAAGTCGCGAAAGCTTAGCAATTCCTAAAACAGTATTAGAGGTTCAGTAATAAGACATGCATCCTACAAGTACGGTAATAGAGGATAATATTGTTGCTGAGACTGCAATAGGCTAAAAGCTTAGACTAGGATTTGAGGATTCGACTACAGTATCAAAGCTAAGAAACTCTAACTAGGAGACTGGACTGCGTAAAGTAAGAAGTAAATTTGTGTCTTAACTGAGTTGCAGCCAGCTAGATTCTTAGGTAAGCTAGATTAGAATTGTGTGTAGCTAAAAAAGCAAATTTACTGCTATGGTTAGGAGCAGTAGACTTTATTCCTTACATCATCCCCGGAAGAGGAAGAAGAGGAGACGATTTCTGAGAC